GATAAATCTTGAGGACATGTACTACAAGAACAATCCAATCACAAATATATATATTGTACCACTCCACTTATGTGAAATAACTATGGTACTAGAACTCATAATGAAAACAGAATGGTCATTTCTAGAAGCTGGAGGGAGGAATGATGAGCTGCTTAATGGGCACATAATTTCAGTTTGCAAGACAAAGTAAAGATGGACAGTATTAATGGATTCATAACAATATGAATGAACTTAGTATTACTGAGCTGTACACTTAAAAATAATTAAGATGGTAAAACTTATGTGTTTTTACCACAATAAAAAATGAAGTGTAAAAATTTAGAAGTAGATAAGAAAATAATTTACAGGGGGCTGGGAATTTAGCTCAGCAGCATAAGCGCCTGCCTTGCAAGCAGGCAGTCCTGAGTTCGATCCCCGGTACCAATGAAAAGGAAAAAGACAAAAAAAAAAAAAAAAAAAAAGAATTTACAAACTTTTTTTTTTGTTTTTTTCATTTTTTATCGGTACTGGGGATCGAACTCACAACCACCTGCTTGCAAGGCAGGTACTTATGCCGCTGAGCTAAATGCCCAGCCCCATAATTTACAAACTTTAAGAGCAGATTTCTTAAAAATATTAAGTATTTCTAAAAAGTATTAAGCCAACATAGAAAATATTGATTAAATTAATTATATTTAAACCATAAAATGCCTGGTTAGTAAAATATACCACAAAGAAAGCAAAGTCACGCTGCAAAAAAAAAAAAAAATAAAGTAGATCTATATGATAATCAACAAAGCACTGGATATATTCAAAATATCTACAAAATCTATGCAAAGCAAGACAATGAGGTAACCCAATTAAAAACTTAGAATGGGCAAAGGACAAACGAGCATAAAGCAGGAAATATGAATGACCACTAATATATTAACATATGCTCACACCTCACTAATAACCTATAAAAGACAGACAAACCATAATGAGTTATGGTTTCACATTTATTACAACTCCAACTATGGGTAAGGATGAATAAGGAACAAAATGTTTTTTGAAAAAAATTCTCTAGATTCTACATTAGTTTCTTTAAAATACAAAACTAAATAATGTATTATTTAGGGTATATATGTTCATTTATAATAAAATTATAAAAATGATCAGAAGAATAAAAACATCAAATTTATTAAGATGTTTATCTTTGGGAGTGTAAGTAAGTAGAGGTTACCATTAGGGAGACATACAGAGCAGCAAAATACTAATAAGAGTAATTTTTTTAGCTGAGGAATAGGGAACTCAGGTGCTCATTATTATTCTTTTCAAAATTGAGTATGTATACTTTTGTATTCTTTTGTTTATAAAGACATTTTGTAAGAATTTTTTACATAAAAAGGAAAACCCTCAAAGTTTTGAATGAGTGGGAATATCCTCAGTAGGTCACCTCCCCCGTGATCACAGGTTTTAGCCTACTATCGAGTCTGGTTCTAAAGGAAACCAGCTGCAGAGTCCCGAATGGAGCAAAGATGTAACATGGAGTCGTCAAGAAATATACACACACACAATATGTAAAAAAAAAATTTGAAAAATGATTCAGGGATGGGAAAAACATGGGATAAGGAAATCTACAGTAATGTCAGATAGTATGTTAGAAATTTTATTTTGTTTTATAAAGATGACATACTTAGAAAATGATGTAAATTAAAAGGAACACATGAAATCTCATTTTAAGAAAAACAGAACTCAGTCAATTAGAAAAAAAAGATCAAGAGGTAACTACAGTATATTATTCTCCAGATTATTTTTAATCTTTCCTCAAAACCAAATCAGAAACCTAAAACTTAAATTCCAAAAATACCTTTTCAACAAATGAGTATTTCCTATGCTCACTGTGAAGCTAAACTGGGGTTGTTTTTGTTTTATTGTTTGTTTTCTGATTTAAGGCTGGCACTTTTAGAGCAACCTCATTTTTCTAAGTCAATATTGCACTGTCAACTTCTGTCACACTGTAGAAAACCCAAATTCCCACATGGCATTAGTTTTTGGGCAACTTTAACAGAAACAGAAAAGTGTGTGCCTCTGATTCATTACTGGTGGTACATAATTTCAGCCCAGCACTGAAAGACTGCTTTCTGGGCTACTGTTTCTGATATTCATCTGACCCCTTTATTTTCCACACTAGCACATTCTTTGCCTACTTTTCTAGACCAAGGTGATCAAGTTTATAGAGCATTGATTTCTCATATCAGCTTAATCCTAGATTGGCTCGTTGTGTCAGCTTTTGGCATGCCATTCTAGTTTCTTGTCCTCATCACACAGACTATGGAAGCATCCAATCCTGAATTTAAGCATAAATTTACAAATCATGTTACCTCTGACAGGTCTCTTATACACTCAAAATCACAAATTCCTTACAAATGAAAGTAAAAATTATAATGCCTATATTTTAAGAGGTGACTTTGAAGTGCGTAAATATACTAAAAAAAATTTTTTTTTCAGTATTGGGAATTGAACCTAGGACCTTTATATTAAGCTACATCCCAAGCCCTCTTTTTATTTTTTTGAGACAATGTCTTGCTAACCTGCTAACGTTGCCCAGGCTGCCTCCCTGGACCTCCCCAAGTGGTGGGATTACAAGTATGGCCCCCAGGCCCAGCTCCTCACTTCTTAAGCATAGATGTAGGTACAGGAGTGAGATTCTCAGTTCTATTCACCACACCTGCTTCTCAATTATGTTTCTCCAAACACCATCCCCAACTCTGGTAGACAGCGGAAATCTTTCTTGTTTCTATCTTCCAGGGTTCTGGCAAGACCTAACAGTTCTCTGGTTCTTCAGTAAAAACAATGGCAACTCCATAGTTCTACAGGATGCTCATCTCAATTTTAGCTCTTTTGCACAGATTTTGCAAATATTTGCTTCTCCTGGAATCGGAGGTTTGAAGACTTCTAGGCATCACTCCAGAGGTTCTGGAATGAGGTGTGGTAAAAGTGCAAATGAGTATCCCTTGAAGGTCTCTCCACTTACTCTTATTTTGGTGTCCTTAGTCTTGAAGAAGGATGACTAGGATAGACTAGGTACATTCAGAGCTAAAAAGCACTTTTTTGTCAGCATTTCCTAAATGATTAACATCTCTACGTGCAGAGATGAACAAGGATCTGACCTAGATTTTTAAGGTAAAAAAGGAGACAAAACAATTGAGTTTCCTTGCCTACCTTTTCCCTATCTTTATTTCTCCTATTTTACCTCAAAGGTCAATTCACTGTCTTCTGTTTTTAAACTATTACTAGACTTTTTTCATCAGAGACCTCTGGCTTCTTTTAAGAGTCTATTTTCTCTGTTATCCTCACATGTTTTTATAAAAGTCTATTTTTTATGAAAACATTTCACAATATCATGTTATAGAAAGTAAATTACAAAACTAAAATCTCCCTAGTTGCAAACCTCAGTCCTTTAAATTACCAAATAACTTTCTCCAAGACATATAACCAACCTTGGATTTAGTTGTTTTTAATCTGCAAACCAGGGAATATGTCCTAGACATATAATTACTTAAGAAGCTCAAGACCAAATACAGTCATACATGTAAATATGCCTTAAAAACCAGTTTCATGCAATGCAGAAAGTATTGTTCATTCAATGAAGAGGCAATATAGAATAACAGTGAAGATAAAAAGAATCAAAAATTAAACTGCCAGATAGAATCCTCATTCTCTCATTTACTAGGTCTATCTTTTGATATGTAAAATGAAAATTAGAGTATTTGCCTCATGTGATATTAGCTCAATGATGTCAGCACCATTAATATCCACTTCATATATTAGTTTTTGAGTCATTAGTGTCATATATTCTTCAAAATAAACAAAAATCCAGACTGTAAATAATTTCTATAGAACATGAAGTTAAAACACCACAATTCCACTATTTTTTTCTGTAACAATTTCCAGTGAGTATAGAATGACTCTGGCATTTCTTTTCCTCATCTATCACCTGACTTAGCATTGTCCTGATGACTCCTGAGTAATTTATCTGGGATATGTTTCTATCACACACAAATGAACTACTAATATCCAAAGATCATCTACTTCTCAACTGTCTACACTGCTAATTAAAAGGAAGCGTTCTAGGCCCTATTTCAGATCGACTGATAAAAACCTGACTGTGGGATGCAAGAATCTGCGCTTCCAGAAAGTTCCCAATGTGATTTTTATGCAATCCCATTTGAGAACTATATTTGCTAGGTGTGTGTGTGTGTGTGTGTGTGTGTGTGTGTGTGTGTGTGTGTGGCAGGGGGAGTGTCCCATTATCTTTAAACCAAATACTGAATAATGATCCAAATCGTCATAAAGGAGAAAAAATGTAATTCTCAGAATAAAATTTCACATGCCTGCCTTGTAAACTGGCTGGAGTCAACACTCCACAGAGATGAAGACTGACTGGCACAGCTATACTTTAAGAATATTCAAGCAACTCCTACTCCAGAGGCCAAGGGGACAGTGAAAAGAAGCAAAGTAAAGTTTACTGCAATCCTTGTATCTATTAAAATTGGGAACTGATAATTTTAGAAAATGGAACTACTTTCTTTTCTCAGTCCACCAAAGATAGAGCTTCTTGCTCCCACTCCACTCCTTCCACAAAACTCTGACTGCCCTTGCAACTCAAACCTTGCTGTTTGGGAGTCAATTTGATCCTGTGACCTTCTGAACAATCAAAAGCAAGGATGAAGGTGATCTTTTGATAAAAATAAAATGAAACAACCAGCCAACATCTATGCCCCTTGGGTGAAATAGTTATAGAAAGGATCTCATTAAAACACCAAAGCTAATCTGGCAGCTCTGAACACTTGAAGGGTGTGAACTTCAAAACAATAACAATTCAACGCTAACAAAATAGTTCTCTGTCCACTAAACCACAGTAGCCTGAGGCCGCCCTGGTTCAGTTAGCAAAATGGCTTTTTGGTTCCTAGACTGCAGATAAATTAAGCATTAAGACTGCAAGAAATCCGGAGTCCAAAGCTCAAAGGACTGCCCAACCCGCCCACACGCACCATCCAGATCCAGAACCCGGTCTGGAGCGGCAGAGCGGGTGGGGCCCGGTTCCTCCTGCACCGCTGCGCTGTGCGCTCACTGTTCTCCGTGTGCGTGAGCACCGCCCACCCACTTGTGAACCCACTGGGCCTAGTCGCTCCATTCCCCACCCCTCGGCCTGGTGCTGAATCATGAGCCCAGCATCTCTAAAAGGTAAAATTGAAGAACAAAGCCACGGGGCGGAGGGCTGGCGGGGTTTGAATAGGGTAGCAGGTCCGGGTGGCGCAAGAGGCTACAAACTGCAACTTTGCTTTCCTTTCCCCAAAATCCCCTCATTCAAACCCCAAATTTAAAAAAAAGTACTGCAGCAGGGCCTCCCAAGAGGGTACCCCTTTCCCGACTGGTGCGCCCGCCTCATTGTTCCACCACGCTGGCCGGAGCTCACACGCGCCGGGAAGAGGGGCTGAGGCTCCGCCTGCTGGAGGTCGGATGATGGCCCCTCTCGGCAGGGCAGAGACAGCCCCCCTGCCCACCCCGTCGCCATCCTTCCAGCCCGTCCCGAGGTGGAACCCAGCGTGCCCACAGGCATTGGGTGGGTGCTGTCCAAATGCTGGGCGGAGGCGGGCACAGGCGAGGGGCCCACGCAGAGGCCTGGTCTGCACCCTGCGGCCGCAGCCCTCGCCCCCAGCAGATCACCGGGCTTCACTCGGCCATGCTTCCTCTGCCCCAGCCGGTGCAGCTGGGAGGCAGCCCCCTCCCAGCCATGGGCGCTGGCACCGAGCAGTGCTGGGCCCTCCTGGGGTCCTCAGAAGCCCCAGCGCGGGCTGCAGAAGTTCCTGGGGGCTACTCACCCCAACTGTTCCTGTCCCTGCGGTTCTTGGCCATGGTGGTCGGTGGGCTGGGGGCGGCGAGGCGCTGGCACTGCACTGGCTGTGGCTGGCGGTGGCAGGCTCTGTGCCCGCGCTGGGCGCAGCTTGCTGAGACTCTAAGGATGTTGCTGTGGCGCTAGAGGAAGGAGTGGGGAGGGGAAGGGAGGAGAAAGCGGATGAACCAAGCTCAGCATCACAAGCCCGAGTTCACACAAACACCAGCGTCACTCCCTCCCTGCCTCAGCCCACCCCGGAGTGCAAAGACAGTGACAGACGATGTACTGCAACATTTCTGATGGAAAACACACACACATAAACAGCACTCCCTCGTCCCCACCCTCTCAGCGAATCTGACAGCACTACCTAGTGAAAGGCACACACACCATGCACTGCACTATTCTGGATGTTCAAATACCTGCTTCCTCTAGGACTATAGGCATATACATGCTGGTGACATTGATACTGCTGAAGTGGTTAAAATAATCTATATTTATGCACCAGGCGTCTTTTCCCCTCCATTTTAAAAGCTAGGTCATGTTATTAAAAAGGGTGTTATGTACTTCTGATATGTATACTGAACAGGCTTACATTTTTAAAGTAGGTAATCAAAATTTATATCAAGAAGAGCAATGTAAGCTGGAGAGTCATCATAATCTATAACTGGCTCAACACCTTGTGGGCAACATTTCCCACTCAATTTGCAGAGGTGAGGTCTGGAGTTTTAGTCCAACAGCAAATATTTGCAGAAAATCATACTACATAGTCTGGGTGGATCTTGGCAGCCATTGAGGCTACAGACAATTTTGAATGAAAAGCAGGTCATACTTCTAATACATACATATATATATATATAAAAATACGAATTTCTTCCTCTTTTCTTTCTGCCTACAAACTTGGTTGTCGGCTTTCTAAAAACACAGTCCCTTCATGCTACTACTTCATCATCTCATTCTTTACCTCCTCAGTTGTCTTTTCCATCTGGCTGCTGCCCACACTCTGCACTGATCAGTTCTCCCCTGAAGACCACTGCTAGCTTCATGACTGGATCCATGCCTTCTGCTTATTGCTCACCACAAGCAACTCCCCTCTCCACATTCTCTTAACACAATTCATTGTGATGGTTTCAGATACGACCTCCCTGCTGATACCCAAATCTATACACCCAGGGAATCATCACAGGATGAGCTCATGACTGCCCTCCATTATTGCCACTTTGTCTTCCCACGGACACTTAAAAAGCAAACTGTCTACTGCATTCCATACTGCAGTTACTGTACTTCCCCCACCACGTACATAACTGTGTATTTTACTAATTTTTGCTCCAAAAAGATGCAATATGGCTTATATTTAGGGGACATATTATTACAAGTACAACATTCTACATTTAGTCAAATACTAAATGTACTAAATTTAGTCTATTTTTGGAGCACTGTCATAACTCTCCAAACTCTGAATTCCAGCCTGAAGTTCTTGGGACTCCATTTCCTATAGATCCATTGACCCCAGTCTCTTGTATCCAACAATAGCCCTCTCCTTAAACAAGCACTTCTTGTTCATGTAGGCTGTGTGTAGAACATGGTGATACAGCTGTCAGTGATTTTACCCTATGAGTTCTTCACCCAAGTCACAACCTCCTGCAGGCTGGGCTTCACAGAGTCCCCATTCACTCAAGTGTTAACTGAAGACTGACCAGTCAGGAGTGGCAACAAAGGTACTGACAGTTCAGAATGATGATCTACACAAAAGTGACAAAAACTGCAGGCACCAAAATTCAGAAAACATTTATTTCAGGAGTACATTAAGTACATCTGCTACAACACACAATGTGTTGAATTATGAAGATTCGTATTAGTCACAACCACATCCATTTATGATCAAGCATTGTTATGGTTTGAAAACTGGTGGTCAACTTAAAGCCAGCTGGATTACATCAGCATGCATTGAGAGAAGATGCTCCACCTGAGGAGGGTTGCCAGGATAAACAGGTGGAGAAGAGAGGTGTTGGGAGGGATTGAGGTGTTAAGGAGGCATTATGGGTTCTCCTACAAGTTGCTGTCTGAGCTGTTGGTTCTCTGCTTTGGTCTTCACATCGAGCATTGCTTCCTGGCTCCGGAGGGGAAGACATGTGCTGCCTGGTCTCCAGGATGAACTCACCACGCTGCTTCCTGGCATGTACCAGACTGTGCTTGTCCTCGGAGGAGTTTGGGGCCTCCGTGTCACTGAGGACAGCTGTGGTGCCTTTCAGGACAGCCCCGCTCTTTGTTGTGAGTGTGACTTCTTGGCTCCAGTGTAGAACCCTCATCCCACTAGCACAGCTCCTTCATCCTGCTGGCACAGACTTTCTGGCTTCTACCACTGACCCTTGGGTCTTCCCGGCATGATCCGTAAAAGAGACTGGCGTGAGTCCTTCTTGTGGGCTCTGGACTTCCAGTTGGACTCATGGAGGTGTTGTCCTGAGCTCTGGGTTTTTAATCTGGACTCATGTGGGACATTGCCATGGGGTTTAGACTCTTGACTAAATAATCTATGTCGTTGGTGTTACGGATAGATTTCCTGCATTCTCCGGTGTTAACTTCCGGTGACCATTATAAAAATATTATAAACTCCATGTCCTGATCTGAATTGTTCTGTGTACAACCCCTGACTACAACAAGCATGCATGTTGTTTGTGCATGTGTCAGTACTCTGAATGGTCACTTGGCAGTTTCAAGCGCATTTGTTTACATGGGTGTTTACTTCTCATCAAAGGGCACTCACTTGGGTATTTACAATTACTTAGTTATAGTTTATATTATCATTTAAGTATTAATGCAATATTATTATTATTTTTGCTGTTTTGGGACAGTTTCATGATGCAGTTAAGACCGGCCTTGAACTCATTTTGAAGCCCAGGCTGGTCTCAAACTCAAAATGATGCACCTGCCTCAGCCTCCTAAATGTGTACCACCATGCCCAGGAACGCATTAATTTGATATTTGCATCATGTGTTACAACAGGGGTTTATTTTTGGAGGAGGGCTTATATTATACACATCTTGAAAAATCAGGTGAGGTCTTACTTTCCAGGGAGGTTTTATTTTGCGGAATCAGGGTAGCTGTTCTGGTTACTTCAGCACTGTGAACACTGTAACCCAAGCTTACATTATAGTTTTAAAGGAGACCATGTTCAACAGAACGGCATTCCCCAACACTAACAGAACCCTGGAAGACAAATTATCTCATCCCTCTACCTATGAACTGAATTCACAGAGCAAAACGTAGCATGGTCTACTTCACTCTGTATTCCTTTACTCTAATTCTCAGCTCCCATTCCAACTAAAAGGCCCTTTCATTTAAAAAAATAAGTATAATGGATTCCTGTAATGGATTCTGCTGTTACGGATTCTAGAAGGAAGTGGAGATGGAGAAGGAAGAGGAGGAACAGGGAGGGGGAGGAAAAGAAAAGGATATAATTCAATATCTATTCAAAATTGAAAGTTGATCTTTTTAAAAAACACCTTCCCTCTGTAATTAATAAGTAGTCATCAAGGGCTGGGGATTTAGCTCAGCGGCATAAATGCCTGCCTTGCAAGCAGGCGGTCTTGAGTTCGATCCCCAGTACCGATAAAAAGAAAAAAGAAAAAAAATAAGTAGTCATCAGAAAAATACTCCAAGACTGTGTATTACACAAAAGCTTCAGTAAATACCTCTGATACGTTGGCTTTTGGGGGGTTTTTTGGTACTGTTGGCCAAATTTTCAACTAATGATTTTAGCATCCACTGGTATCCTTGCCTGAAGCAATTTCACAGTATTTATTTCAAATGGGAATTTTTAAGTAATCTTACAATTTCTTTTATATTTTATAATTTATAGCTCCCATTTACTTTTTAACCTTTATCGAGTATCAATGTGAGTTAATGAAATCGTAAAAACAATTTTTGACTGTATTATTCATTACTGTCCTTTTTCTTTTTAATGCTCATATTCCTTAAACTAACCAAATAAGAGCCCCTTTGAGTCAGCTCCTATGTACCCCTTACATATGCCTAATTTGCCTTCAAGCATCTCCTTGTTTTCTGGCACCAGGAAACATTTCAAGTTTTCCTAATATTTTCCCTACCTCAGAACTAGAATTATCATTCCTCTGAGATACCTAGCTCCTTATCATGAAAAAGGGTATTTAGAAATCAAGATCTGAATGCTAGTGTATGCTTACTGGTAGCTGAAGTCTCTTTCTGGACATTGCTACGTACTGCTCTGTTATCCACATTATTAGAACACATTTATTTTTTTTAAATCACACATCTAATAAACTGAGAAAATAGTTTCAACAATTTGAAAATGCAAATATACAGTGTTATTTATTGCATAATTTTTAAAATGTAAAATACTGTAGACAAGCTAAAGTCTAAGCAGAAGAGTGGTTAAAAATACTATAATAAACCTGCAGTGGGATATTACATAGCTATAAGACAAGAATACAGATCTTTATGAAGTGATAAAGGAATTTCTGGTCTGTAGATGGAAGAAAACCAAAAGCCTAATAATACACCTTTCCCATACAAAACGAAAAGGTATAGAAAAAGTTTCTTTGCATCTGTGCAAAATAAATACAGCAAGGATAAACTAGAAGCCAATGAGGTTGGTTACCTAGGAGAGAGGAACAGGCTGAAACAATGGGGGAACGGGAACAGGATAGCAGGGTACCAGACACTTTTCTAGATATAACTTGCTGGTATAACTTTAGCTCTTAAGATTATGTGACTATTTCACATTCTCCAAAATAAATAAACAACTAATATTAACCAGGCCATAGAGAGAAATAAAAGAACTGCATACAGTCTTTTAAAAAGTGAATCCAACTGTATTACAGGTAAATAATATTTAAGTACATTGAAGGATATAGAAATAAAAAACCTGAGGAATTTAGAAAATAATACTTTTACTGTATGCTACAAGAATAAGGACAAAAGAACTTTACGCAAGTATTGTACTCTTAAGATTTTTTGGTCCCAGCATATATAGGTTAGAGGTTATGAAATTACTTTACGTATGGTTAGGATTGAACAAATGTATGTTACATAATGAGCACTGACATTCTCACGGTTGGGGATAAAGTTGCAACAAGGAAAGGAAGAGAAGGAGGATAGAATTTACTGTGACACTGAATTGAAATAAGTAATTAGTTTAATACTAGAGAAAGAAGGGAAACAGACATTGGAAAACAACCCTCAGACTTTGTCACAAGGACCAAGGTTGCAGTCTGCGGTCCTCAATGTGCTGGCTTCTTTTCCAATTCTGGCTACTATCATGGGCCCCAAAACAGCATTTGCCAGTGTCATCAGGGGCAGATAACCACGCCAAGAGATAGAAAAGGCAACTTGCCTCTTGTGTACATTCTCAAAAGCAAGACTAGCTTCCAGAAGCATTGCACCAGGCTCTACCTCACATGTCACTGTCTAGAATTGTCCAAGCCTAAAGCCTTCCTTTAACAAGAGAAATAAATCTAGATAGTGATGGCAAACATTTTAGAGACTGAGTGCCTAAACTGCAACCCAAAACCCACATATTTATCACAAAGTGCCAACACTGTACTGTAATTAAACCTGAATGCTAAGGTTTAGTTCAGAAAAAACAACTCATACATTAACATCTTGTGTATTAAAAAAAAACCACAAGAACAGAGTTTTCAATGATTTGAAAGGTAAAACTCTGCATTTGGTGTGCTTTTGCACAATTAATGTATCCCTGTTATATGCATGCTGATAATCTGTCAAATCTCAGTGGGGGTGACTTGGCTTGTGTACTGACAGACAGGGCTTTGGTGCGCCACAGGTTCTCCACCACTGAGCTGGACCAATCATGATTTCCCTCACCCTGCATGAGCTAGAGGAAGGTTTCAACCTACTGGTGGACATGGCCACAGGGCAAAGATCAACAAAACTGTGATTCCAACAGTAAGGGAAGAGGAGAGGAGATATGTATTGCGCCCAATACCCAGGGTGATAATCAGTGCTTTCATTTGCCATTTCCCTCTCCTAACACCTGATGTGGTGGCATGACCAAAACTTTGCTCCCATAGGCTCTAAGTCCTTAGTGGTCACTTTACTGGGTGGCCACAGGTTCCCACTGTCCAGTAATGTAAACAGTCAGCAGCCCTCTGCTGCATGCCTGGATTCCAGAGATACTCTTCCCGTTTCCTCTGTGGGACAACCACCAAGTTCCCTGTGGTCATTAGGATTGCACACCCAAACCAGTACGATGTCCCCGTCTATTGGTTCAGTGGTCTGGAGACCTCGAGATGACCAGGTGATAGTTTCAATTTCCTATTTAATAGAATTGTGGCTGTATAATATGGGGAAGTCCCTTGGGTACTAAGGCTTTTAAAACATGTCAACTCCCATTTGTTGGTTGGTTTATTTCATTAACTTCAAATAATGATATTAGAAACTAAGAACGATGAACAATAAATATGCAAGAGAACTACCCATATCTTGATTTTATGAACAGTGATTCAGATTTTAACAAATGAGTATACAACTTGATATTTATGATGTCTATTTACAACTGGACCAAAGGTAAAATATTTAAAGGCAGTCATGTGCCTGTTGGGTTTTTTCCTCACAAAGGATCACCACCTTGAATAATCCCACGTGTCTGAAACATGAGCCTATGTCAGTGGAAGTGAGGACCTGCACAACCTAGAAGAGCCAATCTGCCTCTCCTACCTCTCTTAAGGGCCCACGCTAGCTGGCTTCCTGGGAGAAGGAATGGACACGTTCTGAATGTCAAGCAGGTTCTTCAGCAAGGAGCGCAATAATGCATCTCAAGAATCTTCATTCCGGGATGGTTCCATAATTCTTACATAGTAAATTCCACAAACTTCATAAACAAGGAGTCTTGCACATTAGGCTCTCAAAACTTTGCTTTGTTGTCCCCCTGATCAGGGCTGACAATCAGCTATCTCAGGGACAGACTCAGCACTAAGCTTTTTAATGTGGCAGATTCATCTAAATTCTTCAAATAACAAACACCTGTCCTCTTCACCATTGCTATTAAGAAAATCAGCTATAGAGGAAGAACATGGTGGATAGATAGCAGCAGCTACGAAGGCTCTCTGAGATACCCCGCTTAAAATCCAGGAATGGTGCAGTACGAGGAGTCCTAAGCAAGGGGAGATACACCCTGACGACCCAGGAATGAACTAAGCTAACAGAAAACAACTGGAAATCCAATCCTGGTGCTATAACAGGAACAGATAAAATCTCAGCGTGGAAGCTAGAACCCGCACCACTGGAAGCCGCGATTTGAATTTCCTGCTGCCGTTGTTGCATCCAAATCTGCAGGGCAGGGAGAGAGACACGTGAAAGCTCTGTGAGCGGGAATCTGCGAACGGAGTTGAGAGTGGGACCAGCAGGGAGCCCTACATCAACTTGCAGTGAGTGAGGAGAACGGGGACCCTTTCATAGAGTAGGAGACTCCATCAAGGACATACTGGGACTGGGCAGGCTTGCCAGAACCGGGCGCTGCAGTGACATTAGTCGCATATTCCCCTCTCAAGCGGGATTGGTGGGGAGTGCCTGGCCTGCATGATGCCGCTGACCCAGTAGGCTAGCCCAAACCAGATCCCAGTGCCTGGAGGTGCACCCTAGTGAAGCCTTCAGTAGGTTGACCTGGAGGGGCAGGCCCAGCAGAGGCTGCCCAGGTCTGTGTCTCCCTAGTACACTGCAGTGGGCGGGAACACCTAGACAGCACAATTCAAACAAACTGTAACCAAAAAAGAGAAAAAAATTGGGCCTCCTACATTCACTTCTATAGAAGGAACAAAAAGTATGGGAAGAGGAAGCAACAAGAAAGGGTCCTCAGTCCTGAATCTTGAGAACACTGATCCAGGAAAGGGAAATGCAAAGGAAGACAGAAAACATGCAGTATCAGACACAGCACCAATAGACATAAAGCGGTATCTCCAGAGCCTCATAGACGAGCTTAAAAATGAAGTATTTAATGAAATAAAGCAAGATATAAGCAGAATAGTTAGAGAAACGCTAAGCACCACCCCAGAAAAAACAGATGATGGAGTGGAAGAACAGAAAAAAAGGGGAGAATTGCTTGATGGAGAAAATAGAGAAAACATAGAATACGTGAAGCAGGTTCAAAGAGATTACCAGGAAACTAAAAACTCTATCAAAAGCTGGCATAACAGCTTGAAAGAAACTAAGGATAGATTATCTGAATTGGAGGGCAGATTTGTAATATGGGAGTATGAAATGAAAAACTTCTTAAAAATAACAAGAAAACAAACAGCAATAATACAAAGGCTAGAAAATGATAAGAGGATCTATAACTTAAGAATTAAGAACATAAAAGAAGTAGGGACACAAACAAATGGACTACAAAAGCTATTCACAGAAATAATCCAGGAGAATTTCCCTAATTTAGCAAAAGGTAAAGATACTCAGATGTATGAGGCATACAGGACCCCAGCCACCTACAACCCAAACAGAGCTACACCCAGGCAAATAATAATCAAAATTCCAGAAATCCAATATAAGAACAGAATACTAAAGCCGTCATAGACAAGAAACAGATCACTTACAAGGGAACACCCATCAGAATTACAGCAGACTTCTCGGCACAAACCATCAAATCACGAAGAGCGTGGGGGGAAATAATTCAAGCTTTGAAAGATAACAACCTCCAGCCAAGATTGATATATCTTGCACAACTGTCCCTAGAAATTGATGGAAAAACAAGGTGCTTCCAGGATAAAGAGGAACTAGGGGAATTTGCAACCACCAATTCAACTCTACAGAAAATACTGCAGTATCCTGCAGTATTTTCTAAAAAAGGAAAATAAGAAGACTTCAGAAACAGTGGCAGAGAGGCCACAATGAATGGAGCAGAAAGCGAAATGAAGAAGACAAACTGACAACAAACGACAGAAAAAGAGCTCAACAGAAATGAGGCAGAGAGAACAGCTATTTTGGAGAAAACAAGACATCATAATAGCTAGTACTGATTTAGTATCATCTTGCTTTGAAGTCCCATCAAGCTTTTATTCTTCTGTCTCCATCGGTCTTAACAAGTTGTATCTTATTGTATTTTATTATATGTGATAATATAAGCAAAAACTTTTATAGACAAGGAGATTATACAGAAACCATTGTTCATTTTCTGATAGTTGGTTCTAAATACTGTAATACTGTCATCCTCTTGAATGGTTTTACATTGTCTTGATATGTTTGGTGCTACAGTATACGAAGTTATACTCAAAGATTTCAAGGAAAGAGACACTACATTAACTACTTTTATGTCAGTATATCTTGTGGTGAAACACTATTTTGCTTAAATAGTTATGCTTTGACCTGCACTGTTTTGCTGTTATGCCCTCTTTTATCTCAGTCTCTTTTTTAATTATTTACTTTTTTATTTTTATCTTTTTAATTAAGGGAAAAATATTTAAAAAGCAGGATACATTATAGTAATCCACTTTGATTTCCTATTAACTTGATTTGAAACCCTGTATAGCCCTCACCATCTTGCTTTGACTGATTTTCCTCTATTCTGCTTTGCTTGATAGTACCAAGTTCAAAAGTATAGGCAACAACTGTAAAGACAGTAAGATTCATTATGACGCCCATTCCAGTTGACTATTATCTTTTAAAGTCCTGTAATGTCTCCAATGTTTTGGCTTTATTCTTTACTGTTTTGTTCAATTTTATTATAACTGATGATATAGGCAATTTCTTTTTAAGATAGCAAGAGGCAGTATGGTAACCACTGTTGATCACCTAGTTTTTTGTTTTTACATTATTATGTCCATCCTTTTGATTTGACTGACTCTGTTCTGTCACATTTGATTTTGCTCTCTTCAAAAAAAAGTAATAAGAACTGTGGGAGTAATAAAACCCAAAATGTGTAATTGTCATTGTACAAAAGAAAGGAAAAGAAAGTGCTCTAAAGGATATAACTGCATATATGTTTAAGAGCATAAGATAGAGAACCATATTACTGAGTTGTTTGAAAGTCCACTTTATATGCTTTAATTTTGTAACTTGAACAACTATTTCTAAGATAACAATGTCATCTATTAACTAGTGATTTCCTATTGTTTATTTTTTTTGAAATTCTGTATAACTTGTACCCTTTTTCTGTTTTTTTTTCTTTTTCTCCTTAAATAAAAAAAAAGTTTATAAGTAAAAAAAAAAAAAAAAAAAAGAAAAGAAAAGAAAATCAGCTATAGGAGCTGGGGATTTAGCTCAGCGGCATAAGCACCTGCCTTGCAAGTGGTGTGCCGTCGTGAGTTCAATCCCCAGTACCGATAAAAAAAGAAAAAGACAAAAAAAAAAAAAAAAAGAAAAAGAAAAAAAGAAAAAAAATCAGCTATAGGGAAATCCTCATTGTTTTCTTCTATGTAGTTTTTATAGAAAGGACTGATCTTTTTCTGTACACAAAAGTTTAAGGATTGTAGTGCTCTGCTTTTCTTTTTTTTCCTTTCCTTTTTTTTTTTTTTTGGCTTGGGGTTGAGTGACTGTGAGGATGGAGGGAAGTAGTGAGTTCAATCCCTGGTACCAATAAAAACGAAAAAGACCAAAAAAAAAAAAAAAAAAAAAAAAAAAAAAAAAATGGCCTTGAACTCACTCTGCAGCCCACGCTGGCCTCAAACTTACAAGGATCCTCCTGCCTCACCTCCCAGTTGCTGGGATTACAAGTGTGCACCACAAACACCTATCAGCGTTAAAAAGCTCTTTGTGCTTCTGGAAGCATACCAAGTCCAATGTTATAGAGATAAAATTGTGGAGATCCACTCAACAGCTCTCCTTGAAAGTAGACCATTTGTCTCCATGTTGGCTAAACCTGGCCTTATAGAGCTGGCTAGGATAATACTTTACGCCCTCAATTGACTTTAAGCAATACAGATGTGTCTAGTCAAGGCCTCTGAAGCAATGGGATAGGTCAGTGATGCCCCTCCTGTAGCTCCCAACTAGTATGCATGAGCTAGGTCAAGAGATGCCTTGCTGTTGGCTGAGACTGAGGCTCCAGAAAGAACCTGTGAAGTCTCAAGGCATTAAGCCCAGACATCAAAGCTGAAGCACACTAAAAAGACAAAGTGCTTCCTCAAATCATGTTATGCAAATTCCTTAAAAATTGGAGGGGCTGGGGATTTAGCTCAGTGGCATAAGCGCCTGCCTTGCAAGCAGGCAGTTGTGATCCCCGGTACCGATAAAAAGGAAAAAGACAAAAAAAAAAAAAAAAAAAAAAACAATTGGAAACTACTGTTACTGGAATCCCAGTAGTCTTTCTGCAAACCTCTCTCTGCATGTTGCAGAGATGCTACTGTGCCTCCTACCTAGCCCCACATACAGTACTCACCACTTCCCTCCATCCTCACAGTCACTCAACCCCAAGCCACTGCCCACTTCACAAATTAATAAAACCCAAGTTTGGCCCTGGTAAGGGCCTTTGTTCTGGTTAGCCATTGCTCT